CACTATTATCATATTATAAATATGAATAAGAAGCACTAAAAATGGAGTCATTTAGTGAGATGTTATTTATTGTCAACTCTATATCTTTGCTAATCGCGGCGCTCCTGTCCTTGGGGAGAACTTTCAAAACAGGGCCAATGGAAGGTGACACTAGAACTAAGCTCATGAGAAGGGAAATACGCTCGGGAGAACAGAAATTGCTCACATCCTCCACGAGAAACTCTTCCCCTCAGGCTTAGTCCCAAACACAATAATTGGTTGAATCTCTCCGCTCATGGGATTCCCCCCCCCCTTAACAACAAGCGCCAGCAACCTAAGCGCCCTGATTGCTATAACAGCCTTTTGCTATTCCTTTTCTTCTCTTCCTGCCGCTGCCTTTGAATATCCACGCGTTGGAATGTAATTCGAATCGCAGAAACCTGTGGATTCTATCCGCGACCGCCGGATGCACCAAAAGTCCGTCGCCCGCGCTCTGCTATTGCAAAGCGTATGGAGAGAAAAACTTCATACCTCCTCAAGTACAAGAAGTGTCACTGATTTGAATACATACCTTTGAAATTCGTTTAAAGGGAGTCTAAAGCCTTCGAAGTGAGAGGGGCTTACCGATTTTGCGAGCGCCGTCTACTTGCCAGTTGTGGAGAGCGCGTAAATGTTTACGGCATCAGGGCCGTCTGCACCAGTTCTTGCGTTCTTTTCTCAGTGACAGGACCCAAGTAGTGCTCGTCAACGACTCCCATTCTTATTCCTATCCTACGCCTAGTGGCGTACCTCAAGGTACGTGTATTGGGCCGCTAATGTTCCTAATATATGTAAATGACTTGGTTGACTCTATTCCAGCTGGCGCCTACTGCAGTCTTTATGCTGATGATTCAAAAATCTTCACCATAAACGACTGTAACAAGCTTCAGAGCGCTATAGATTGTGTCGAGGCTTGGTCTAGAAAGTGGAATTTGAACATCTCTCTGCAAAAAACAGCTGTTATGGGGCTCGGTAAAAATCATCCTAGATTCACGTTCTCGATGTGTGGCGTCGAGCTCTCCCGAGTAAGTAGAGTTCGGGATCTTGGTGTTGTCTACACCGATAAGCTTGAGTTTGATGAGTTTATACGCGAAACAGTTTCTAATGCAAGCTCTAGGGCTAATTTCATTTTGAGAGCTTTCAAAATGCGCGAACCTAGACTGCTATTTTATTTATTCAATCTCTACGTTCGCCCGATCCTTGAATATTGCTCACCAATCTGGTCGCCGTTCAAAAGATCGTTAATCGAAGAAATTGAAAAAGTTCAAAGAAGTTTCACTTATCGCTGTTTTCATGCGCAAAGGTTTGTCAACATTATCCTATGATGAGCGCCTTAGCATGCTTCATGAAGAGTCTCTTGAATTTCGACGAAAGTTAATTGATTTCGGATTGATGTATAAACTTGCGATGGATAAATTGAATTTGAAATTGACTGACATTTTTGAAATGTCGCCTTCTATAGGGGTATCAAGAGGCCACCCCTATCGTTTACGACCCGACAAGCCCAACACACACGCGTACGGAGAAGCGTTCACTGTCAGAGTGGTTTCACTCTGGAACAAACTTGATTCAGATTTTTTCAGATGGAAACATACTAGGACGTTTCAGGATCACTTATGTAGGTATCTCAAGTGCCGAGTGGCTGCTCCAGATACGAGTTTTGGAAATGTAATCGCGTGACGGCAGGTGCGCCTACCCCGCCACATGACTTTGCTGGAATGGGTGCGTGCCAGCCGCCTCCATAGCGCAGAGCGAAGTGCCGCCGCTCATGCGTGCACTCGCAATGAATCACACTGGGGTTCAAATCCAGTGCCGCCTAAAGTGTTTGCAAGCGGCTCGGCATTCACGTTTACAGCTCCTGAGTTGAACAAATGTGCTTCTGCGTGATTCTGATAGGTTTGTCGCCTAAATGGTTGCGCCAATTTCCGTCGTCTGGCAGTCCAGTTCCTGAGGTAGGGGGAACTGATCGATACTGTAAGTGGTTTCGGTTTATACGATATGCTATCTTGGACATCACTTAACGTTTCGATATTTCAGCCAACACGATCGATCAATTATTTCCTTCCTTGCTAGCCTCTTAATATCGCCTCCTGTTCATAATTGTCTTGTAATGACCTAACAATAGTCCACTCACTACTTCGCTTTTTTTAAACATTTTTTTAATATTCTTATTGACCTTCTTGTAATCGGACTATTTTTTTTCATTTGAATAATCAACAACCATTTATTCTTTTTCAGCCCAGTATTCCCCTTCCCTACCTCATTACGGCTCTAGGAGGGGTTGGCGGACCTACTAAGTTGGTATCCGGAGTCGCTTTTCCCTCTTGGCGGCTTGCAATGTTGGCCGGCCATTGCCCTTCTCCTCCTAGGTGGCCCTTTGGATCTCCCGCCTTCCCCCCCCGTACTCTATTAGCCAATAAGCTGCTTTTCAAAACTTGTCTCATAACTTGTACATATTACGGAGAAGGCAGTCCTCGAATGATTGTTGTATATTCCAATTTACTATTTAGGAGCATGCTTCGTTCGACATTAGACATCGCAAGCGCCATATCGGGTGTTGCCATTCATCATGGCAATAATCGCACCAGTTTACTTCCTTATCATTGATCTGACTTTTAGATTTCTTCAGTTTTCACGTCTCGAATCTACGCCGCTTTACCAACAGATAGTTTGTTTGCAAATGGCGTGGAAAATGTATGGAGGCGTTGAAAGTGAAGTTATTGCCAGGTGTTCACTGTCGGATCGAGATTAGAAAGATTTTCCTGCCATATCTTCTTCAACACATTAACGACACTGAGACGTTGCGGGTCTCAAATTGCAGACCGCGTTGGATAGTGATACGTGGTACCGCGTCTCAATCTTGTTACCCCTTCTTCTGACGCATTCGTGGCTTTTCCCCAAGCTGTTCGCACTTCTACCGTAGATTACACATAGGCCTAGCTAGAAAAGCCGTAGCCCATGAAATGGTTGAAGGTGCTTGAACATATGCTAAACCTGCTTGTTTTCGGCGCTTTGAGGGTTGAATGGAGGCTAAAGTTTGCGACGCTGGACGCATCGTGAACGATCCCTCTGATTGTGAGAAAGATAGTGAACGCACACGTTCCGGTTTCCACGCATTCCAAGTGGCTTTCCTTACTCTCACTTCCCTGGACTGACCATATTCCTCTTGGTTTATGGCCCTTTGCGTTAATGTTGTCACTACTTAGGGGTCGCAGACCGGCTGTGTGTGACCTTGACTAACCGCGCATCGCGATTGTTTCGCACCTTTCAGTTTTTTGGATTCCGAAAACGCACCTTGTTGGACAGTGAGACGCGGTTGCGCGTCTCAGAGATCGCGCCCGCCAAACTGCTCATGTCCACGTGGCCAAAAACCAAAACGCGCGCAGTCGTCAGTGTATTAACGCGTACGCCTAAGATCCTGCCCGTCTCTCCAACATAAAAACCATCATAGGTTGATCGTTAAAGTTGATATACTATACGTCGCTGCTCACATTCTGTATATTATCATATATATTTATTGATGATATCGTAACAAGATCTCTAATTATAATAGATGAATCATACATCTGAAAGGCAGTAAGTCCCTACGCTACTCGACAGTCTATCACAAGCTTCTTAATTGTTGAAAAAAATATCTACAATGGATTCAACGAACTTACTACCTCCTTTAGCAGCCGTAGAGTGGGTACATTACCGCTGAGGTTACTGCATGATCAAAAAGGGTAATACGTGTGAGAAAAATATGAACAATATAGTGAGCAAATATCGCGTGAAAACTCAAATGGCACCATGGAATCTCAATCGATAGCAAGAAAAAAAATCGTAACTTATATCTTTATATGATTATGTAGAACCTAATCTACCGAATCATTGGTACTGAACTCGTCAATGATGAGGTGAATAATATGAAGTGTGACAGTACTAATGATGAGGCACAGGTAGAGATATCATTTTCAACTGTATAGTTCGTCTATTTGTTCCCGGAACTGCTTCTCAATAGATTTTCGTTTCAGCTTCAATGCTTCGGTCACCAGTCCTGTTGCCGGAGTCCATGCTTCCGGGCAGAGTAAAATCTTCTTGGGAACCTCTACTCTTTGCAATTTTCCTGAAACTAGATGGCTTTTCATCAGATCAAAACCTGTACCAGTTTCTGTTCTCAAGAGGGAAAATGGCAATTTCAAGCAATTTCCTATCTACAGATTCCTTCCGGCAATGGGAGGGTCCATCCAAAATGGCCGAAATTACCCCTTTGGAAGGTTAGAACCTCTAAGTTAACCGATTTCGGAAACAAAAAAACATTCACGTAAAAAACCCCAGAAAATAATGCACCCTCTGAAAGATCTAAATGACCCCAACTAATATTTATGAAAGCGCACTCAATATTCGATAGAGTTTGGAATAGAACAAATACATGACGTGTTCTGCGGAGGGTTGAATCGGTTCCAGGATATAATATGCGATCGAATTGAATAGTCAAGCACAATTGATCTGAAATCACTCACCGTTGACGTGTGATTGAATATCTTTCAATACTGCACTAATCATGTCCTTGTTGTTACACAAACTTTCGATATCACCATCAGAAATGCCGATCTGGAAAACTTCACATTTAGGCAAGAGCTTTCCATATTTACTTTTGATACACGATTTAATTTGTAACTTAACTCCCCCTTATTTCTAATACCGAACAAAAACTGATGAAATCATTTTTTCTGCGACCTATTCTAGTTTTTTGTTTGAGGTTAAAGGAGGAATTCACGATTAGAATGAAGGTCGAAGAAAGGGAAACTGACCTAGTTGAGGGACCCACGGACCTCCTGAGGGTGCGAACTGACGCGCAATTCGCATGGAAAAATTTGACCTCGGCGACCTATCATGCCTCAAAGCTGGCGGGTCCGGCGATCTCCGCCCACCGATCATCTGATCACTCGCCGTAGTTCAATACGTGGCGAGTGATTAGATAGCTGAGAGAGCGTAGTGTTGAAGAGGGCACAGCGATGAGAGTCGCATCAATGCTCAAATCAACGGGCAAGGAAGGGGTCCCATTTCTCGGGTTCTGGGCCGTTTCTCATGGTTCTTCCTTCTTTCGTGTACCACTCACCATCCCTAGGTTAATTTGAAATGGGTTGCTTTTTCATCGTGAATTCGTCCTTTAATTAGGTCTCCTTATCCAAGCAATTTCAACCTGATTGAAAGTACATCGAAACGGTGCGACTTGAGAAAACAATTGTGTCTAATCTTTTTAGATAAAAAATTGCACCGGAGCACGATCGCACGCATTCAACACGACGTGAACCCTTTGCACTCTGTTGGTATTGGTATGGGGTGTATCAAAGGTAATACCGTTCGCACATATTTCCTTTGTACTTCTATAATGTTTAACTGTTACACGACCGTACATCAATGGCTTGTATGATTGCTTGCGAACTTTCTTAAAATTTCGAGCAAGCCATGACTAATGCCGCTTCAAGCAGCAAGCGATCTTTCAGTTCATCAGGAACGATCCAAAGGGGAACTGACACAGAGAATATTTATTGATAGATGACAAGTGAAACCCTCATTCAACCTGTCAGTAACGTTGCGAGTCGTGAAGCTTTGGAGTGGCAGAAAATTCATCAGTGATGAGTGGTCTAGCGCGAGTGACACCAGAACAGGTGCTCGTATATATAGAAGTCGAATTTAAAGGGAATTTCGACTGCAGAAAATGAGGCAGAATTTCGCCTTCCAAACACCTTGATCGCTCATGAGATCTGGGATCGAACAGTCCGCATAATTCCCACTCGATCCCCCCAACACTCACTCCAACGACGATGGTGAATGATTCCATATTCGGAAGACAGTGAGGGCAGAGAATAGTGTTGCTTCTGCTTGTGAAAAGACATCCCAGGAATATTTTGCTGTAAGAATTTGTGCTGGCACTCTGTGCGGGGAAAATTTGCTGATGTGCGAAATGGTTTTTTTTATCCTCACTTCCCTCTCCGTGCAGCTTCTACTCTACAACTGTTCTTTCAAAAGAATTCACCAATATAAGCACTTACTTCTTCAGCCTTCTTCCTAAGGTATTTGTGGTCTGGCACAACCAACGCAATTAGGTAGTCCTTTGATGAGTCTCCATAAACACAGACTGTTTCGATTCCATGTCCGGTTTGGATGTTGGTCTCGACCTTGCCTAGTGAAATGTACTCGCCGTGGGCCAACTTGAGTAAGTCCTTCTTACGATCTAAAGTATAACACAACAATAGACATCGTCGAAACATTGAAGGATTGACCTATGATCTCTCACCTATTATCCTGAGAGATCCATCTTCACGGAATTCTCCTATGTCTCCGGTGGCAAAGTATCTCCTGCCGTTCCTCTCTACAAAGTCTTCCTAAATAATTCAGGTTATCGAGTGTTGTCTGAAGGCTGTCGCGCTGAAATGTGGGCGCAATGTTAGAAACGGGTCACAACCAGGGTAAATCCTATCGTTCTATCCTTGTCCTATCGTTGTTACTTTTTCCAAAAATTTTACGACCCCCCTCCCCCAAGGTGGACTTGATACGACCCCCTTTTCGACACCTCGACCACCATCATCCTCTCTATAGTATTTAATTCTGGTACCACTCAACCCACCAAACTCCGCCCACTTTTTCCTCCAAAAATGCCGTCGAGCGGGGGGGGGGTATAGTCACTCTGAAACAGTAAAAATTTAAATTTCCCCAATTTCCCCCACTTCTACCTATAATCCCACTGCTTCATTTTCTAGGGGGGTATATACGCGCGCTGAAACGGCAAATTTTTCTCCCGCGCGCTCCCAACTCACCACAACTCACATGTAATTTCACGCGACTGAAGCGGATACGACCCCCCCCCCCTCCTATAAACTCAACCAGGTACGACCCCCCCGTTGTTACTAGTAACAACGTAGGATTGACCCTGGTCACAACCGCAACGAACGCTCTGTGCGCCTGCAGAGAGTCTCCTAAATCGCTGTGTGGCAACCATCCAACTGCCCACAGCACTTCATCCACATTTGAAGCGTGAATTTTGCATTTGGGGTTTTTCGAAACTATTTCAAAATCCAAAGATTAGTATGCTCCTTACCTTCGTCTTTTCTGGATTGTTGTAATATCCAATGGCAACGCTCTTTCCACCGATAAGAACTTCTCCTTGGGGTTTCTCGTTATGCGGTGAGTAACCAGCTAAACAAGCAAATTTGGCGTACAGAAGGCAATTTTTGAGCACAGCTACTTGCTGATGAGCGCTGAATTTAGAGTTATTACTGCAGTCGAAATCACTTCAGGGTAATCGGGACTACGTTTGTTGAGCGCGCAACTGCGAAGCGAACCTTTATATTCAGAGCTTGTGGAAGGACTGGAGAGGAGTAGCATTTACAATTAGCAGCCAGGTAATTCGAAATGTATGATTCCCTTCCTACTTCGAGAAGTCGAATAAGTCGCAGAGGGTTTAGAAGACATTATGAGAGTTGTTTCCGTCACCATTCCGGTACATAGAAGAGAACGATTGGGGTCTCATTAGCTCATAACTCATAAAACAAATGTTTTGAGCTTAGATTAATGCCAAGCATTTCGCTGAGTTTCCTAGGAGGTTGGCCATTGAAGACTGCCTTGGCGGTGGACACTGGTAACATGGAGGTTAAGGGTTCGTGAGTGGTCGATCGACTATTAATATCTACGAAAACACCCCATCTAAACGCCTTGGGCGAATTATACCTCTGTTGTGAAAAATCACAACATCATCGGATTTTCTATAACACCGCTGACGTCATAAGGGCTTTTTTCCATACCAGCCGGGTTGCAAATGATAATAACATCATTTGCGACACAAAGAAGACACAAGGAGCCTGAAATGTGCATGGAGAGCCCGCACTTCCGTTACCACGGATCTCTTTCACTGAGGGTCCTCTCTCACTGAAAGATCTCGAGCCGGTTGGTGGCGAGGCTACGTGGCGCGACCCCAGGTGGCGGATAGGGGGTAAATCGCGGACCAAAAGCCACCATGTACTTGCCCTGAGACGCAGGTGGATTCAGGGGATGGACTCCCTGTTTCTGTAGTGCTGTGTTGATTCATACCAGCTGTCTCCACTCAGGCGTATCCATGCATGCTTGCGTGTGTGGTGCGCTCTGTGTGTGTGCGGTTGGTATCCTGCATGTCGGCACAGCCAAAAGCTTGCATTCAAGTGACTGGGAAGTACATGGGAGGCGATTCGGGGCCGCCTCCAAAAACTAAGCCCCTTGTTCCGCTCCAGGATAGCGTGGCTAACTACCTGGAGGTCTATCCTAGCCCACACGACAGAGCCTGGCAAGCTACTCGTGTGCCTTCAATATGCCGAAAACAGCAATATGGATGGGCCTCATTCCCCTGAACCTGAGGGAGCCCCCAATACGGCAGCGTTGGGTAGGACCGCTCGGGAGAGGCTGCTAGAATCTCAGGGCCCGGATAGGCTGCCTAAACGAAGAAGGACTAAGATGGCGATCTGTACTTTCAACGCACGAACGCTTGCATCCGAAGCTCACATCGAAGATCTGATGATGCAGGCCAGGAAGATCAAGTACGACGTCATCGGACTGACCGAGACGAGAAGGCACCGCCCGCTACACGCCGTTTTCGATACTGGAGAAGAACTGTTCCTTGGAACATGCGACAGCAGAGGCGTTGGCGGTGTGGGTGTCCTCGTCAACACGCACTTGGTACTTCCGTAAGCGGTTGCATATCATCGGCGCCGAAAAGGCTTTTCTTTCTACCGCTCCAGCTTTTACCTACTCGCTCCATGGAGCAGTACAACTTCTCAGGTACTGCAAACGCGAGCACTGAATGCGTCATGCTTCGTAATGCATAATAAACAGGCAACATAAGGGGAGACGAACACTTTCAGATACTGCCAGGATAAAAAAAAATAAAAAAAGCGCTCTGGAATTTTCAAAGAAGATAATTCCAAACTAACCCTCTTTCCATTCCTCAAGCAAGATTTCAATGCTAGTGAGCGGTGGACCCACCGTTCCAGTAGACAGGTCATGAGCTGAAATACTGTGAAAATGGTTCAAGATTCTCATCCGTTGTTTTTAGTGATAATACTGCGCAGCTCGAAATTGAGATGTATGGAAGGTACTGCTATCAAAAAACATACTGTCAGCCAATGTTCCTGCTCCACACGTTTCCGTCAAACCATAACCTTGAACCACTGGACAACAGAAGCAGATATTCATGAACCTGAGCGAACAGAGTTACACCTCTTACTGATGCCAATGAGCTAGTAACCTGTAGGGATCTTGTAAGATACAATTGAATACCTCTGTGTTTCAGGGCTGAGCGGAGCTCCACCTGAGAGAACACACCGAATATGGCCACCAAGAAGCTTGCCGATTCGATTGAACACCAATCTGAATGCTAGCTCTCTTGAATTAGTTTTCAGAACTCAAAACAATCAACCGTAGGGAACAAAACATCAGCTGGCGCAGTTACTCGAAACAGTGCCATTTAGACTATATAGACACCCCCACTCACAAGCCCACCCTTAAATGTGCCAACCATTATTTCCTTCAGTCAGCTTGCCTCTTTTACAATCCTTTCATCCACAACAGTCTTCCATTGCCTGGGACCCCGGGCAGAGTCAACCCTGCGTTGCGCAGTTCTCAACGGCCACGTTGCGCAGTTTCGCCCGATTAGACACGTTCTCTCGCGCGAACATTCACACTCGCATGCTCGAGCCGTCTGCGTCTCCGCCCATACAGCGTGCGTTGAGGATCTCTCAACGTGCCGTTGCGAACTGCGCAACGCAGGGTTGACTCTGCCCCGGAGTTCCTGCGCTCTGTGAACGACGTTTCCCGAATTCACGTCAAAATCGACAGTTAAACGTTTGAAATTAGAGACAATTTCAATGGGCCTTTTATGATGATCAGAAAGGCAAATTTCAAATGCAGGAAAATAGAAATACCAACTTGTTCAAGATGAAGCTCGTGTAGCCTTCTTCGTAACGTGCACGCTTCCGTTCGTAACAAGCTCGGAACATTTCGCGGAAAAGTAGACTGTTGGAATTCACTTCTTCGATTACTGCCTTGTAAATTCGATCCATCACGGCCTTAAAATTATAATTATCTAGTGAACGAATGTACTGCAATCCATTAAGAGTCCTACAACATTAGAATATCTCCAGCCTTGTCTACGAGATGCACTAGTATGTCGTAGACGGAGCATAGGGACCTTCCGATTCTACTAGGTTGAAGGAAAGTTCTGAAACACCTCACAGCCTACTATTGGAATTTTTTGTTCCTTATTATCCTTTTTCTCATCAAACCTTTCACTCAATACTATGATGGACGAGCGACTGAAAAGGTGAAAATTGGGTCTGGAGAATATGGCTGATGGGCAGCCGCCGAGCAGCCCTGTTTGGGAATCTTCCAACATTAGACCGTAGAGACATGCGAAAGGGGGTTGTTGAGGAGCAATGGTGCGGTACCCATTGACCACAATTCCAAGACTTGCTTAGTTTTTGAAGAGCCCGAAGGACGTGCGTATAAGAGGTTTTTAGGACGCTCTACCAGATAATGTGATGATTGCCTTGAACCAACTTCGGCGAGAGCGCGGACGACGCTGAAATCGACAGAAGCCGCGCGTCGCGTCGGAAAGAATGAAGTCACCGCCACTGAGCCCACAAGCCATTTTGATACAGCCACATTGAGAGTTGGTGTCCTACCCCATCACTTAAATGATTCTATGTGCTGTCTTTCGCGTGCCGATCTCTCCAGGCAAAGTTTGTGTAACATGAGCCTCGGATGGTCTCACGGTAGAAGCCGATATGATAATACAGACGCCATCGTGGAAAAGCTGACGAACTCCATACGCAGTATAGTCCGTTCCTTTGATATACCACCAACTGGAGTTTCCAGAACATTCGGGAAATTCAAGAAACAACAAGAGCCAAATGTTCTACAAATTTCTGTTTCTTTCCATCCCAATAGAAAACAGGATGCGCATGCATTGCGATTTAGTAGTAATACACTATATATCAAGGAGCATAGGAACAAGTCTGAGCAGAAAGAAATTAGGTGGGTACGGAAATTTAAAGGACGCGAAACAATAATGCTGTAGATGTGAACTGGAAAGCAGGTAAACCACATCGACGACAAACACAGAATCGTGAGAGGTCCCCTTATGCGGCTCTACCCGAAAATCTTCAGCATCCTGAGTCTATGCCGAAAAAAATCCGTTTATAGGCCGGCTCCTTCAATAGGACCCCTTCCAAAAACAACTCAAAACACCCTTTATCGAGATGCCGACCCGTGAGCTAATTGGCGGGCTAAGTTCGGAAAAAGGTAAGCCATGAGCCTTGCTTGTTATTCCAACGCTTCGTGGCTCTGATATCGAGATGAATTTCGCATCGCTGTCATCAATATTCTTTGCGAAGTATTCCCTCTGTATGAATGTCAATACTGAGCACTTACTGGTACGCAGGCCATGAGCGTCGGTTTCAAGGCATAGCAGTCTCCTTTGGTGCCCTTCTTGATTTTTGGTGCACGATCAAACAACGTTTGTGCAGAAGAGTATCCAATACGAACACCCTGAAAATGAAGTTCACCAGTAAGCTGTTGTTTATATTTTTCTAAAAAATAAAGATTACCCTCGAGAGAACAACTGTCTCTGCACATACTTCTAGGATATGTGCAAGGGGAAGGTATCCGATATAAGTATCACCACCACTGAAACATTCCACTATATAGACAATATAACACGTATGCCAGAGATAGAGCGGAGAAGTGGCAACTAGAGTTCTCACTAAACACTTGCTATATGAACTAAATCCCCACCGCTCGAGTCAGTCAAGCATCCAACTTTCCTCAAAGACACAAGGTAGGGGCTAGTGTGTTTAAAAAAAGCCTAATAGTGGCAATGGGTTCTAGTGTAATGAAACAAAGTAAAAAGTGGTAAGGTCGCTAAATATCACAGGGTGCACTGATCGCCGAAAATCATGCGTCAGCAAGCTTCTTCATTATTGGTGCAGGGGCAAAGATATGGGGCCAACCAAAAAGACTAGCGTGGATCAAAGCGCAAATCGTGTCTATACGATGGAGCGCAATGTGATTCATGGATATTTTTGCAGACTTTGTTTCATTACTCCAACAGGTGAACCAATCACCACAATTATATTTGATTATGACGCAACACCCTACACCAATTCAACGCGGAAGTGCCTCACTGCACTGGCACCGTTATCCCCAGGGGCGAACACTCCGCGCGCAAAAGCCAGAGTTCGCGGCGAGTCGCACGCGTAGTGCGATGTAACGTACAATGGAAATTCATTTGACTAGTACCGCGCAACCGTCGCTGACTCGCCTCTGTCGCGCGAAAGGCCCCTGGGGGTACCCCTTGTCAACCGTAAAAAACCGCTGACGCAAAGAACACTATGATTCCATCAGTAGGCACAATGTTTTGGGAAAATAACACTCATATCAAGAACCCCTGATAAGGTCGTATGTGGTGAGCTGGCCCACGTATCACACGATTCGTTCGCCGTTCGACCACTTTCGGGACCAGCGCCTGGCCTAAAAGTGATCGTGGCGAAGACGACTATTAACCAACAGGACGCCAATACCTCGATCCACCTTTCATGACACCCAACCTGGGATCCCGGCGCAGCGCTTATTCAGATACAGTGGTGGGTATACCGTGGAGGAACAAGTCTACATCCGTTCCGATCCCATCCCCCCTTCCGTATTCAGGACAATTATAAGAGAAACCTCCGTAACGGACAAGCCAGCACTCCGAGTTAAATATGTAGTGTTATTACGATGTATTTAATAGTGTAGTGTAATAATAATGTATGCATTTAATAGTGTGGTAATATTAGCATAGTGATCCTGCCGCAGTCACGTACAATGCGCGTCGCATTGACGCGCTGAAGTGTGTGCTCGCCGACGCACCTTCTCGTTTCTCTGCGCTCTCTCAACAGAAAATGCTTCGAGGGATTTGTTGTTGCTGAAAGCGCGCCGATGCACGCGCATTGTATGTGACTGCGGCAGGAACACTATAATTCACGCAGACTCCGGGTGCTCGCTTTGTCCAAACGGCTTATCTTTAAAGATGGGGAATATTTGTTGATGGCTCCATCGTCGGCTCTCTTTGATTTTTTTTTCATTATCAGTGATTCGGCATCCACAACTTCATTATCGACCGCTGCTACTTCACCGATTTGATCTGGAGTTCTTGCTTTGCAAGCGACTACAAAGTAAACGGAAGAGGAATGTGTAGAGTATCCAGAAGTAAAATTTATCAACTCCCAGCCCACTGTTCATACTTGTCCACACATTGGCTTTAGAAAAGTATTCCTGACAATGAATGTGTGGAGAAAATTAGGCACCGATGGATAGTAGTGAAAAGATTCAAGTACTCTAGTTCCCTTCTACCTCAGGTTGAATGCGTTCTTCAGAATTCTGCCGCGTACATACAAATAGCCGCATAATACCATGCAGTGTATGTTGTTAAACTATACGCTTAGACATACATATTTATCAGCCTGAGGCCTTCAGCCGGAACGTTTTTGCACATCTAACAACCCAATCTAACCCGCATTCTCCCAGAATACTGAGAGTTTAGATTGCGATTCTTTTTTCCTGACGACGTGTTGTCAAAAAATCCATATGCAAAGGGACATTGCACATTGTTAGAAAGGGCGGAATTACATGTGGAGCACGGCACTTCCATCGATGAGCCCTCCTTTTCGCTATCTTGAGAAGAAGGCCCGCAACTATAAGGTCCAAGGGTTGCATTGCACAAAGAGGCTTCACCAATACTTTAAAAGTGGGAGGTTCCTTCGGAATTACCACAGTAACGTGAGCGCTGCAACGGGCCCTCGCTTGCCTGCCCCGCGCGGAGACGTGAGCTGGAGCTTAAGCTATCTAGCTGGAGGTTAATCCAGCTAGCTGGAGCCCTGGAGTTCATCAAGCAAAGAAAGCACATCGACTGAAGCGGTAGGAGGGCCAAGAAGCGGACATAGATAAACCAAAGAGGAAACTCACACAATCGGAATAACAGGTATTTGCCCTGCGACGGCTGCAACTATATTTTCATGAGATATCATGACTCCCTTTGGATTCCCAGTTGTTCCAGAAGTGTACATTATAACGGCAATGTCCTCCGCTGAACTTCTTGGCGTGAATGGTTCAGCTGAAAACACATTTCTTGAAAAAAGAATATCAGTTTGGAAGCAATCAAGTGTCTTTCTCTGCAACAAATAATGTTTTACATAATAACTAACCATCCCCCAAGAAACGCTTTCAAATATTTCAACATATAGCCACAAGAAGAAAGATGTAAAACATACGGCTTCCCTGATTCAGAAGGTCCTCGAAGGAAATAATCTGCACATTTTCGTCGTCGTGCTTGTGCTCAGTTTGAGGATCAGGACTAGCGAAGAATATGATCTTACTCACTTGAATTCCATTTTTGATCGCTTTTAGCACCTGAGACAAAAAAAAATAAAAGACGCAGTCCATCGCGAATCTAAAATAAAAGAAAACAATCCAGTACGTGGTCTGGGATAAGCCTACCTTTGGAAGTAAGATCTCAGAAGTGAAGACAGTTTTAGCATCGACTTCTTTCAAAGCGTATTCGACAGCTTCGTCACCGAGTGTGGCGTACACAGTAACAACTGAAATATTGACCGTTGACAGTTGAAATTGTAGCACGATCCATCCTGTGCTTTCGTATAAAAAATATTATTCATTTCAGTATTATATTTTAACGCTGACTGCACTTGAACATACTAGGAACAGCTCGTGTGGGCAATTGTTGTCTTACCTCGAATATACTAGTTTTGAAGATCTGAATTTTCCTGGACTGTTCACAAATTCTGCCCAAGATACCGGCATGAACCTCAACTCCCGTTGAAGTAACTTTAATTTGCGAAACAATGAGCTTCAAAGGCAAAGTTCGGGCTCAGACCCACCTAAGAAGCCCTTACCATGGCTAGAAGTGCTGGGTACGCAAGTGCAAAGGTAGCGCCACCTTTCTACATCGAAACGCGTCACTAGGACCCTAGGCGCCATGGACTTCTAACAGACTCCACCAAACTTAACATGGTCCGCCCACCGTTCGATATCTTGTCTGCGTCGCTGCGTTGATCTGCTATGCTCTCTCTTCTCGGACTTCTCTACCACTCTCCGCGCTCACATTATCTCTCCTCCCTGTCTTTTGAACTTCTCCACAGCATGAGCAAAATGCTCGTATTTCCTGTGTATTTCAGGATTTTCTTTCCTTTTTTCTCCACTGGCGGTCCACCTCTCATTCCTACTTTCACATTTGAGTGGAATCAACCTACCAATTGACTACATTCGGATGGCTCCATAATTGGACATCTCTACCACTCCTGCGCAGAAGAGAGCAAACCATCGCGTTCGTACTTTCGAAAATTCCATAACCAGCCCCTTCTATACAGGTCTCGATACGGGCTTCATAACTAATACATGTCAAAGACGGATTTCAGACAGGAAGGCAGGCACACTATGTATGTATCAAGGTAGAGGTGGTCAGTGATGTATGAGAGATGTCGAAGAAGCTTAAGGGCAGCGGGCGAGCGTCGGCGTTTTTACAGAAATGCTGAACATTGGGTTGTCCCAAATACGACCCCGTAACAAAAATCGCATTTACGTCCCCAGTTCGAGCGTTCGAACGAATTACTTTGAATATTGCACTTTCATGAAACTTCATGAAACTTCAAATCAGTTGAAGGAAAGCGAAGAGAAAATCGCTAGAATCTGCAAAGGCTCGAGGAGCTTGACTTCAAGCGACACGGAATTCTGATCAGGATTTTTGAGAATGCAGCAGTGCGTGCAAAAAGAGGACAGTATAGGGAAAAATCTCGTTCAATATAAGCGTATCTATAAGTTTATCTCCGTACCTGGCAAACAGCTTTTGAAACATGCAAGAGCAGTTGTCATCCATTCTTCACGAGTTTCAGCAAACAGTATAATTTTGTCATTTTTCTGAATATTGTCCAATCAGAGCATAGCGAATCTTGAGCGCCAAGTGTTAGATATGTTAGTTGAGATAATCTTCGCAGAGTATAAAAAGAGTACAAAAATAAGTCAGAGTATTAAAACAATGCAGAATAGAAGGCAGATCAAAGTAGGAAAAGTAGCGGCATTACTAAAAGCAACAACCTAGTTCAAAGCCAGTACCCACGATGAACTGCTATAGTAAAATTTGTTTTCACTTAAGAAGCCTATTGGGGCGTTGATATGTTGTGCGCACTAAAGGGCTCAGGTCTTTTGGCTCATAGGAGGGAGAAGTCTTTTGAAACTTTTGTAGATCTTTTTATCTGCTCGTTAGAAGAATATCCATAAAATGACGTACATCATCTACCCGTCCATCCAAAAGACCGTTAACTGAAGAATGGACACACCTTTAAATTTGGGGGGGGGGAGAGTAACGCTTCCTCGCTACTCTATGACATGGCGAGCATTAACGGCTTAATATGGCACAGGTAGTATAAGTAAAAAATGCCAAGCAATCCCACGGAAACTGAGGAGTCAAAAACTTACAAGAGAGAAGAAAATACAAAGGGAAAGAAGATCGTAAAGAACGAACCTTGCAACCTAGCGAAGCGAGACCGGAAGCAACCATATTGACGCGCTCATCCACATTTTTGAATGACCGCCAGTGATAATTGCCCATTTCCCACTACAACATTTTGCGTTAATCGTTGATTCAACCAGGTTGAAGAGTTTCAGTATGTGAGTAAAAATACCTTCTCAAAAATTTTGCCAGTCTTCTGTTTCTCCTTGTGAATGGACAATACCTCACGTGTCCCAAGGCAATCGAGATCTGCGTATCTCCTGAAAACACTTGTTTAATGTGGATCATTGGAAATTTGGAAAGAGGCATAACATGGGACAACGTGCTCGTTATTGATCTACTTCACTTAGATGAGCCACATCTTCAAAGTCACTTATGACTCACAACGGACCGTTAACCGACATAATTGCATCGTAACTAGCGATTTTTTTTGTACGAGGTATCGGTTTCTGCTCAGGTCATCGAGGAACTTCTTCTCCTTAACTAAGAAAGACACCCTGATGCAAACGCCAGCTAGTGCCCTAAGCTATCTCAGCCCTAAAAAATTTCTTTCAAAAATTCAAACGACCGACGTAGCGTGGTGGCAGCGTCACTTAACATGCGCAAGGTCCGTGGGCAAAATTCCTGATCGGCTCCCATTCAGCTAAGCATCATGCCTTTAATCTCACCATGATCGCTTATATGGCATCATACTAGATGTGGACAATCACTGCCTCAAACAAAAAAAAATCCGCTGTAATTCAAGTCATCGCAATCGTGGACCAATCAAATTCAAATCCTAGTGCAATAATGAGCGCAAGTATACAGAATGCACGGCGCATCCCACAGGAGTTTGATCAATAGCATCATTTCATCTTTTACAGAGGAAAAACATAAACATATCATGAAGTTTTCCGTACCTCACACATTCATTCCACTGCTCAGCAAGAGTGTAGCATCCCTCAAACACGTGCGAAGCTAATGGCCCTTCTTTCACATTGTTGTGTCGCCAGGGAGAAGTAGGATCACCTTCTTTGACTGGTCCAGCCTGAAACAAATCCACTTAGGTTTTTTAAATGGTCGCTGCTCTGTGAATTCTTAATTCTCTACTCCATAACTAACGGTTCTTGAAGAATACTGCATAATGCTGGTAGTTCTGTGAAACTGGCAGCCCCGCACACGAAACAAAATTTTGAAACAA